GTACATTTAATTTCTGCCTTCTTTATTTCGTTGTATCTGGAGAGCATGGTTGTCCAGGTCCGCTTTAGTTCCTGCTCCCTGATACCCCGCTTTGTGGCCGGGTCCAGTTTTATCATGATTAGGATTGCATTGATTAGCCCTATTGTCTTTCGATGCTTTATCCATCTATTTAAAAAAAAAAACGGAGAAATATAAAATATACAAAAATGAGAAACAGTCGACATTGATTGGAAATACCCCGAATTAATATATAGATCATTTAATTTATACTTCTGACAAGGGAGGAGTTCCAAGCGTGAATTTTTATGAATCTTGGGTATAATGTAGTTTTCGAAAAAATATTTGACATGTATTTTTTTCACGTGTTGACTCTCATTTAAGGTGTGACAATTGTCCTCAAAGTTGGGGTTGAAAACAAATTTTTTTTTCAATATCTCGAAAATTATTTGATTTATAAAAATGGTTCAAACGTACGAAATATGTTTTTCACTGATCGCGGACAGTTTATGTATTATTCTTACATCGTAATAAAAATTAGCCAACCTGTTACCCTTAGTCTACTACAAATAGTGTATTAAAAGTTAATACTCTTGCGTTCATTTTTGTTGCAAAACGGTATTCTATTCTCACGTAAAATTACATGTACAAACTTGTGCATTGTAATAAAAAATGTTTCATTCGTAATTTTCTTACATTCTGTGCGAAATGGAGTTCTTAGGCGTGCATAGTTGGCAAAATTGTGAAAATTGAAAAAATGTTATAATACTAATATGTACATTGTACTATGTTTCATTAGTTGTACCTTAAATTGTTGAATTACTCCTGCACGTATAACGGATCACAAGCTTATGATTGCTCTTGACGTTTTTCTTACACCCCGTTTCAACACTGTCTGAGATCACACATCGCAACTCTTACTTATATCCGTTTTCAAAGTCCCCACCTCTTGGGGAACACCCCTTTCTTTGTCCCTCTTGAATCTTGTCACAAACAATGTATAGAGTAACCGATCCAATGTATCGTGAAAAATTTTGAATTTTCTGTCATATCGAAAAATATGTCAAATAAATGCAGATAAATATCTTAGTCTTATCGAATAATGCGATATTTAAGTAAGTTTAATTGATACGTGCTTTGTGTGCTGTTATCGTTGCACTTGGAGCCTTTGGTATCTTTTTTTTTTTATCATTTTTTTGGTATTTTAGTATTTATCTGCATTTATTTGACATATTTTTCGATATGACAGAAAATTCAAAATTTTTTACGACAACGGTAGTGGAAGATTTTTTATTTAAAAAAACAATTTTTATTAATTTAATAGCACAGTCTTATAAGGCATAAAAAGCCATTAAATTTTTATTATAAACATTTTTTTATATCTACTATAGTTTTAAAGATATACAGGGAAATAGAGTAACACTTATCTTCATTCAAAGGCTGTTTTCACCCTGAAGAACCGAAATTGGGCCAAAAAAAAAAATTGCCCGATACTTCTCTCGAGGTCCCCTATAAGCTATTTCAAAGGGAATTTGGGTTTTAATATACAGCCGTTTTTTCAACATTTTTTGGAACTGTTTATTTACAGATTACTTATTATAGTTTTAATTGTTAAAAATAATTTAAACATATTCACAAAATAAAAATTAACAAAAATATACATTCAAACAAGGTAATTACATTGTATTAATTATTAATTTGTATAACTTAATAACAAATAAAACTATAGCTAATATATAATAGCATCATTTCATACAATGTTAAAAAAATTCTCCTATCATTGATATACGTTGTAGGAATGACTGAGATTGGCAAGACAAAAGCTGATAGTTCAATCTTGCAGAATCATTTGTGGGATATAAATTTTTTTTCCTGATATTCTCAAGTAGTATTTGTGGTTCAAACCTTGTCTTTGTATTACTTTGCTTAATAAACGATTCTGTCTTATTTTTTATAGCAGGGGTAGAATAATGTCCATCAGGGGTAGGATAAGTTTCATATGTGTCAATATTTTCACTATCATCAGCTTTATAAATTCCTGAAGGAGGTGCAACAACTTGTACCTCTAAAGATTCAGGATCTGGATTATTTACATTTACTTTATCTTCTTTTTCTATTGTTATAGTTTCATGTACTGCATCACTTATAGATGGTACATGATTAATTGAATTTTTAGTAGAACTGTTTTCAGTGTCATTTGTAAAGGTATGCCTTATTTCAGATAATTTTACAATTTCAATTGGTTGCTTATCATCATCTTTATTTTTAACATCTTTTTGATGTAGCATATTATATTCTATGTTGTTCTTCTCTTTTAAATCATTTACAGGGATGAATTTCCATAATCTTGCTTTTTGATCTGAAAATAAATTCTGACTTCTATGACAACAGTATAATGCTCCAGGATCTATGGGATGTGCCTCTGTATTGAAAATATATCCCCCTGCATCTACAATACATTGACCCCACTGTGTTTCAATAACTTCTCCTTTCTGACCAGAATTGTGAATAAAATTATCAGGATCAAAAAGAAGATAAAGATATTTAGTTGTTTCTGCCAAAAAAAATGACTCCATTCTATCAGCCTTCCGGTGGTCTCTAACATCATTAATAGTTGCATAACCACATGTAGTTTTAGCACTATGTTGCAAACTTTTTAATATATCTATTCCTACTTGGATCAAATAAGGATCTCCTGTTGCTCTATATAAATACATGACTGATTCTATAAGTTCTGGTCTCAGTGGATACCCCTCTCTATTAGGACATGCTTCAGCTTGTGGTATATTATAAAATTCTGGTGTAAATCCAAATTGTTTCCAAACACTGTGATAATTGTGCAAGGATTTCATAGCATCTCCAATTTCACCAAACAAACTCAGTACTCCAGGCCAATAAGCATCTAAAGATTGAAACACAGGTAAAGTTACTTGACCTTTGGTCATAGAAACCCATAAATGCCAATCTTCTTGACGAATATATTTTTCAATGGCAGCCTTATGCTCATGAAAGATAGTTGCTAATAATGGATCTTGAAATAATAAAGTACCTTTTGCCAAGTACTCAAAATAAGAATCAACACCTGCACCAATTCCAGAATCTTGAGCTGTCCAATGACCTGTTAATACATCTACATGGTTACCTACTAATCCAATATTTGATTTATAGTAATGTAATGCTTTAATAGCATTCATGGCTACTTCTTCATACAATGGATCTCCTGTTAATCTGGATAAAGTTCCAAATTCTAATAAAAATGTTCCTATGCCAGCGGTACATGTAATGCTAGTTTCACCTTCCGGTACACCGTATTTCAA